CCATTTATGTATTGGTAATAGCTCTGCAGGACCCCATTTATGTTTTGAACTGCAATAAGATCGAGTATAAGACCACGCGCTTGAACCTTATAAGAAGAAATTATGGGTGTGTTGGGGATTGAACATAAGACTTCAGGGTTAAAACCACATACCACTTATCGATGAATCTCTACAAGATTAACCTAACGAATTAACCAACGCTGGAGCCGATGTTAAACTTGCCTTCTCCGTTCAGTTTGGACTAATCTTGCCGTTTATTTCCGTTAGGAAAATCGTTTATTCCGATCGGTTTTCTATCGATAGCCAACAAGCAGAACGAGAAAATTCAAACTCGAATTCGGTTTTCTGTCGATAGCCAACAAGCAGAACGAGAAAATTCAAATTCGAATTCGAATTTTAGTTTGCGAAAATTGATCCAAGTCGGAGGTTTTTGTTCGGTTTTCACGAAAACAACATTTAAGGAGCTGAGTGAATAGCCAATATGGTCCTAAAGTTTCGCTTCGGGCTCAATTTAGTCATCGATGTTTCAAATTGTCCAAACAAGTCCTCTAAAATAATTATTTGGGTTAATATAGCCTTTGGACCCAAAAAACGCCACGTGAGCATGCCAAATCATCCTCACATGCAGCGGTATAAATGAAATATCATTCTACCCTTATATATCATAATTAAAAAAAAAGACACAAACAGAAAAAATAACAAGCCAGCCTAGGCCCAACATTGTTGCAGAGGGTGAACGACAAAAGGAATTTATACAATCCGTGGTTGGCTGCAGCAATCGTAAGTGACAATTCTAAAACGATCATACACGTGCGAAATATTTACCTTCTTTTTTTTTCTTTCTTTTCTATATGGTATATAAGGGTAGACCGCTGCATGCGAGGATGACTTGGCATACGCACGTGTCACTTTTTATGGGTCCAAGGATTATATTAACCCAAATAATTAATTTGGAGGACTTGTCTGGACGATTTAAAACCTCAATGACTAAACTAAGCCCGAAGCGAAACTTCAGGGCCCATATTAGCTATTCACCCTAAGGAGCTTTATTAAGTCCTGGTGGTTAACCTATTGACCTGGCAAAATATATTCCCTTAAAAAAACTGGGAAAATATATAAAAGAAACTGCGGCCTGCTGGGCTATTTTCTTAGGCCCACGTTAACAGCATTCACGGCCCATGCATCTCCGAATTGGAACATGACTAATTGTAACAATGATAAAAATAATTCAGAAGCATTCATAGAAATATGGTTGATAGCCCCTCCGTCCCATTTTAACTGCAGCCATAATTTTCCATGCACAACTTTGATCGTCCGTTTTATTTAAAAAGTTTTTAAAAAAAGTAAAAAACAAAAGTCACGTGTAAGTACTATTCATGTTTTATCATCTCACAATAAAAATACTAATTATAAAAAAAATCAAATAAGACAGATAATCAAAGTTGGATACGGAAACTTATGGTTGCACTTAAAATGGGACGGAGAGAGTATTTAAGAGATTAGGAGCGCACGATCGGCCCCCACAGGCTTCTATATTGTGAAATGTAAATTGTTGTAAGAGTAAATTGCATTAGCAGTGTTATGAAAATATATGCACAACGGAGACACGAATTTTTACGTGGAAAACCCTTGCGGGAAAAAACCATGGGCGCCGACCGGCAATGATCACTATAGAGGAATTGGATACAAACGCAGGGGATACATTGGGCTATCGCACCCTCCCCGTGCGGCTTACAAGGGATATATATAGCAGAAATCTAGGAGTCCTAATAGGAAACTAATCCTATAAAGTAGAGTCATATTAGATAACTAATCCGAATATATTGTGGGCCCGAAATTCGGATCACATATTTAACAATCTCCTCCTTGAGACGAATTTCCCTTGTAGCATAAAAATCTTCAATCTCCAAAGAACCTCGTGATGATAAAATCAATGTGCGCCAAATAGTCACTTGGACTATAATCCATAACACCCTTAATCCAGAAGAGGTAGACCATACTTCAAACTCGCCATTGGGAACAAATCCTAAATTTGCTGGTATGACATTGTGGAACCCAGCAGAGACGCGAAACTGATGTACAAACTTCAAACTCGCCATGGGAATAAAATCCTAAATCTGCTGGCATTAATTTCTGGAATCCAAACAGAAACGCGAAAAATTCTTGTGCACAAAAACAAAGTACTTAGATCCCCTGATAACCTCCTGGTATGTTGGGTACAATGGTAGCAGAATTCGCCGGACAATTTGATCACCTTGTGATCTTGACAGGAGCGAGGCTCCCTCTCGACGACTTGAATGTACTTTTTTTTAATCTCAGGTGCATGACTTATCCTCCTTGAAACATGCGCCAACTTGCATCTTCACTTGCCATAACGAGATTGCATCTCAATCCAGGAGTGGTAGATCAAACTTCTAACTCGCCTTGGGAATAAAATCCTGAATCTGCTGGTACAATTTGTCAAACCCTAACAGAAATGCGAAACACTCTAGGTGCATAAAACGAAGTATTTGATCTCCGTAAAAAACCTCCTGGTAGACTTGGCTTTGTGAACATAGCAATTTGGAACGTGAATTTGTGTTCCCCTGAACAGAACCAAAACAATGCAAGGCTTAAATCCCTGGTACGATGGATATGTGCACGCAGGAAAAATCCAACGTGAAATTTAATTCACATGAACAGGGCAGGAACGGTGGCTTCCGCTTCCTGACTTTCTTTTCTCCCGACGTGGGCGTGCGCTGGTAGATTGATCTCCTGAGTCCCGACGTGTGTATGACGCCGGTAGATTGGTAGGTGGACGCCGGCTGCTCGGAGTCGACAGATGACCCCGCTTTAAATCGGCGAGACGACGCGACGACACGCGCCTGCTGCCGCCGATCAGATGAGATCGATTTCTTCGATCGTGGAATCACGCCAGTGACCAGGACATCATATAGATCGATCTGATGGATGGCCACGAACCCAACAACGAAGCGACTATAGATCGAATCTCCAATGCTCTGATACCACTTGTTATGAAAATAGATGCACAACGGAGATACGAATTTTTACGTGGAAAATCCTTGCGGGAAAAAACCACGGGCGCCGACCGGCAATGATCACTATAGAGGAATTGGATACAAACACAGGGGATACATTGGACTGTCGCACCCTCCCCGTGCGGTTTACAAGGGATATATATAGCAGAAATCTAGGAGCCCTAATAGGAAACTAATCCTATAAAGTAGTGTCCTATTAGATAACTAATCCGAATATATTATGGGCCCAAAATTCGGATCACATATTTAACAAGCAGTACATATATCAAGTAGGTATAATTTAGTACTCAAACTTGTAAAACACTTATTTTAGTGTATGTACATGTTTGATGTGTGCGAACCAAGATGAAAAAACACAAAATGGCCAAGCTTACCAAGTTAGAAGTTGGTTAGGACACGATGTATACAGGCATGAGACATGCTATATTTGTAAACTTGATTTTCGCTTTATTATTGTCAGTTCTACCTCTTGCATAATTTCTTTTTTTTTATTTTTCTCCGTGCACTCTTAGGCCTTATTAAACATTTTTCTGAACAATGTATGTCTATGCGGCTCTCTCCTCACTTACATGTTAATGTAACATCCTAATCAACACTTAAATTAGCAGGATTAGTCTTGTTTGTGTGTTCTTTGGCCTTGGTTCACATGGACCTGGCAAGTTCATGTACCAAAATGAGTGTTTTACTAGTTCATGTACTACATTACATCCATCTAAAGTTTGTGTACCGCTAGTGTAATTTACTCTTGATGCAAATCATGGGTAGGGATGAAACGAAGCGGATAATTTCCATCTGCTATGGGGGAAAAGAATACTGATACCGTTCAGAGTGGATAATTATCGGATAGTCCGGATACAGATATGAATACAGATATATTTTCCTGGATATGAATACGAATATGGTGTCGAGGCTTTCGATGGATACAGATATCCACTGAAACCATGAGACATACTCATTTCTTTATAACTCTAGGACCTTTAATCTACCTTTTTAGATTTTAATAGTAGCCAATCTCATAACATTAGTCCACACTATTAATATTATTTAAGCTTTTAAATATTTTTATAAATTATAATATATTCAATGTAAAATGAGCTAATTATGTATGATGGTATTGTTTCTATTAGAAGTTGAGGTAGTTTTCGTGTTCCAAGAAAAAAGTGTTTCCGCCAATCATATTCAACCCTTATTCATATTCGAGATAAGCTGTATTTGTTTCCGTATCTGAGCTATTCATATTCATTTTCATATCCGGTGAAAAGAATAGTAAAATGAATATGGTATGAGCATTATCCGACCATATCCACTCTGTTTTTATTCCTAATCATGAGTATATATGACATGTCTAATTGAGGGTGTCTAACGTAACTTCCCACCTGACGTGGTTACTAACATGTGAGCCTGAGGGTGGTATGACTCACATGAAAGCAACCACATCTCTCTGATTTTATGTGAAAGAAACCAATCCCCGACAAGGATAAATAGGTTGTGTCACTACTACATGGAGGCAAATAGAGATCAGCACTGTAGATGCCGAAAGTGGTATAGCCGGCAACTATAGTGCTTTTCCCGCCCACTCACCCGCCCACGCGGCTGCCAGCCTACCAAATCACCTTTCTCCCTAAATAGGTGCCAGTTTTTAAATATAACCAGCAACTATTAGCCTGTCAGAGAAAGGTGTCGAGTTTATGCATATATTATAGGTGCCGGTTTTATACCGATGATCAAAGTCATTTGTGCCCGCACCTATCTAGTGTTCTGTAGTAGTGTGTGCACATGTGCAGAGGTCGAAAATGTAAACTTTTTCCTTGCCATTATCTTAAAATTGCATGTCTCATGTCATGTAGATATGAAATTCTCTATGGGCGCATCGCATGCATGCAAGCTGTCTTGCTTCCTCATCACAACATCTTCCCTGAACGCCCGCCTTCTACGTCCCTCCCCCTCTTCTCGCTCCCTCCATTCCGACGTCTCATTCTCTCTCCACATTTCCTTTTGATCCCTTCTCTTTTCTCTCTCTCTCCGGCCGGTTGATCGAGGTGAGCGTTTCCTGACCTACTTGCTCGGATTAATTACAAATTGATTTGATCACGTAGATAATTACATCATCATCATATTGATGGATGGATGCTTGCACATATATGCATGCGTTTTGAATCTGGTGATGTAATGATATCCAATTAATAATCTTGCTGCAACACGAAAGCTCAGCCAGTTTAATTGATTTGATTTAGTTAATGCCATCGATCTCAGGCTTGATTATCGATTGGCTGTTGAATGCACGGATTAATCAAATAGGTTGAAGGCACGCAATGCAAAATTCCAAATTGATTGTGGACCTCTTCGGTTTCTCCTTGTATAAGACCTTGAATTTAGAAATTATTAGTGAGCTATCGAAAGTTTTCAGTGGCATCACATATTATCTGCTTACTTGGAACATATAGAAAAATAGAATTATTAATTAATAAATTAATTGTATTGAGCATTATACTTCCTTAGTCTGAGAGTATATAGCATTGGGCATAAAGTTAGTATTAACTATTCACCATGTAACTAGCTTCTTAGTAAAGGTACAAATTAAGGACTGAAGAGAAACTCCAGACTTTTAATCTTCAAACTGAAGGCAAGTAATACATTTTCAGCCCTTCCATTTAGTTCCTTGGAGGATCAAATTCAAATGTTGCGACGGATGAAGACGCACGAAATTTGATGCTTTTATCGCACGTTCATGTAGTATTTGGTCAATCGATCTCTGCATCATGCCTTGACCAAGATGCATATTTAGTTTGATGATCTCTGTTGCTTCCAATTGCACTCCATTAATTGTTTGAACTAATAGTCGTTTTGCTTCATGTAATCGAATGCTTCCTGCGTTCGATTGGTGAGAGAAGTGCACTCCAATGCTGTACCAACAGTACTCTTGGGTTTTTCTCTTAGGAGAGCTTTATTTAGAGTGAAAGGGACTTCCTAATTAAGATTTCTTTATTTTGAAAGAAGCTAGTAATTAAGATTTCTTAACATATGCACACGTGAAGTTATAAAACATGACTCAAATCTGATGTTGATGTGTGTTCGACCAAGTCCCTAATCAGTTTTTGCACTTTTTCTTCTGATTTCTCACGCCAACTGATCAATTAAGGCAAGTAGGATTTTAGTTGTGTTCTTTTCTTATTGTTTTCCTTTCTCTTGCTTTTCGCTTTCTCACCTCCTACCTCCTTGGAGACAGTCCACAATTGTGAATTTTCAACATTAGAAAAATAATCACAATTTTGTGGAAATGATTGAAAAACTAATTAATAGGTTGCATTTCACATGAACATAGTTAATTAGAGAACAAAATGCATACACTAGGTGTTAGAGCAGTACAAAAGTTATAGAAGATGTCACTGCTTACTGCATGAGTATCTTTCTTCACAATCCCATTCCATCATAAATATTGCCTAAACAATTCCACTCAACCTTGTTGCTTGTTCAACTTTAATTCTTTCATAACTTGATATGAAGGTCAGGACAATTACTGTAGACTAGTTTCTTCATGGTTGCACGCTGAATAATCGTACACAGATGCCCTTGCTGTCTCTGAATTCTCAAACACTGAACATATATTGTAGAACATTTTACACCTATTCCTGTCTGATCTCTTGCTGTGTGTGTACGGAGCATGCTGCCGTTCTTCCCAAGACTTTGTGTCTCAATTGGTTATTTTTGACTTGAAGCGATCCGTTTCGGTAGTCCCTGAGGCAGCTAGCGTAAGCCTCTTTTGACTTCCAAGCACACAAGTTACTTGCTGCCTCAGATTCATCAGCAAGTCACTAGTACTTTTCGGTATCTAGATGAAGCATATATATAAACCACAAGAAAAGCGGCTGCCCATTTGTGTTCTGATCATGAGGAGATTCAGGTGGTTTCTTGAAAGTATGTATTGCCATTGCTTCCTTTTGCCCTTTTGATTTTTCATTATATGATGTAGAGAGAAAATTATATATCTTATCGCATCGATGCTTTATTTTTCGTTGTGAAAGGGATGTGAATCTGTGGTTGCAAGATACTGAAGAAAGTAATAAGGTGGTTCTTCAATCTTCATAGGCTTCAGAGTTCAGAGTTGAGTTAATGTTTTTGCAAACAAGGTGTCTGCTGACAGTTTGACAGTAAAAAGATCTGTATATATGGGTTCCTGCGGTAACGGTAGAAGCTCTGAATATGATGATCCTGCATCATTAGAGAAGATGGAGGAACTGGTTTTACCTCTGAAATTGATGCCCTTACACACCAATGGCCGGTTGTATGACATGAGGTTGTCCTCACCTACTGCTACCTGTGTGATCAATAGTTCATCTGGTTCATTCGACCCGATCTACCGAGCTTGGACGGTGAGTTTACTACCATACTAGTTGCTGAATTTTTGTGGTAGCAGTGTTTGATCTTGTAAGAGTGGCGCAATTTTGCATTTGTTGTTGTTGCAGAAGAAGTATCCTTCAGCTCTAAATGCCTTTGACCACATTGTTGCCTATGGCAAAGGGAAGAAGATAGCGCTGTTTTTGGACTACGACGGTACACTGTCGCCAATTGTCGATGAACCTGACAATGCTATCATGTCTGACCAGGTGGTTTTCATTGCAATATCTAGCTCTGTTGAGTCTCCTCTTGTCAAGTTGTATTGACTAAAACTTCTGCACAATATCGTGTATACAGATGCGCGAGGTGGTGAGGAATGCTGCCTTGCATCTACCCACTGCGATTATCAGTGGAAGGTCTCGTGATAAGGTGCATATGTTATTTAAAAGGTTTCGACGTAATCATTGTGCTGATATAATAGTAAATTGATATGTTATCTGTCATTCTGATACTAACTGTACCTTTTTGTATCAATTTTAGGTGTTTGATTTTGTTAAACTAACAGAATTGTACTATGCTGGTAGCCATGGAATGGACATCATGGGTCCAGTTGGGGAACATGATTCAGTTACTAACCATAGGAGCTCCATTAACTCAAATAGAAAGCAGGTGTGGAGAGCTCTTTACAGTTCAGCCAAGCATAATATTTGTTTCCAAATTTTAGTGCAAAATATGATACAGTATTTGTTTTTTGAATTGAATTGATCTTTTCAAACGGTTTTTAGGGCAAGGGAGTGAAGATCTTCCAGGCTGGTACTGAATTCTTACCAATGATCAATGAGGTAGAAAAATGTCAGGCTTTACAACTCCATATTTTAGCTCAGTGTTCATCTTAATGTAATGGAATGCAGGTTTTTAGATTGCTCATCGATAAGACAAAGGCAATCGACGGTGTGAAAATTGAGAACAACAAGTTCTGTGTATCGGTGCACTACCGCAATGTTGAGGAGAAGGTGAAGATTTATCTTCTCAAAATCATTTCATGGGGGAGAAACTATTCATAAATTATATTTTCAGGCATATGGGCAATTCCTTGCTTCTGATTAATCTGACTTTCAGAATTGGCAACTTGTTTCTCAATGCACAAATGATGTCCTAAAAGTCTACCCTCGCCTCCGATTGACTCATGGACGAAAAGTAATTATCTGAAAACTGAAATTGGCTCCTGAAGATGACTGTCAGCTGTATCTGATCATTGAAATGCAGGTTTTGGAAATTCGTCCAGTGATAGACTGGAACAAGGGGAAGGCTGTGGAGTTCTTGCTGGACTCCCTAGATCTAGCTAGCTGTAAAAATGTTCTCCCTATTTACATCGGGGATGATTGTACCGACGAGGATGCTTTTAAGGTGCGGAATTCTGCTTTCATTCAGAAGGATTTATGTCTTTCATGGACAAAATTCATTTTATGGTTCAATTTTCAGGTTCTTCGATTTTAAGGCGCATAATCTGCTTTCCTGCAGAAGGATTAATGCTTTTTCATGGACAAAATTCATTTTGTGGCTCAATTTTCAGGTTCTTCGTGACGATAAAAGGGGTTTCGGGATTCTGGTGTCATCTGTACCAAAGGATTCTCATGCCCTATATTCTCTGATTGATCCATCTGAGGTAGGTTCATGATTTGTGTTCCATGTAAGGCACTGTTTGATGACAGTTCTCATAATTGTTTTTTATGTTCATTCATGATATATAGAGCTATTTCAATTGCAGGTTATGGAATTCTTGAAAAGACTAGTGATGTGGAAGAACGAAGAAGCATCACATAATAAGTAGATTATAAATATATCTGATGTTTACTCTAGGGTAGATTTCTGAATTCTGACAAAGAGAATAAGCAGAAGGGCAACAGAATTAACTTGGACATAGTGGACAGTTGTACATCATATAGTTAATCCATTTTCTTAGCCTAGCAAGTGGCAAAATAAAAGTAATTGCCATGTTGTACAAGAATGCGAAGCATTCTGCACAAGTCCAGTTCTTTGAATAATGGTCTCAGTTGTAGAATGGTGTAACTTGTTAATGAACTGTGATATAAATTTTTGGGCTAAATCATTAATATGGCATATTGTTTGGTGTGCATTATCTTTACAGATCATACATACCTTGCAAATTTACAGCAGAAAGCAAAATGAGTATCAATGTTTCCAACTCCAAGTAAAAGGCAATTTGAGGTAAACATGTATACAAATTTTTCTTTACATACGAAAATTGAAAAAAGAAATCGATTCCCCAATGGCAGATTTTGAAGAGTTCCCTCAAACTGAATGCTCTAAATGTGTAAGTTCCAGAATTGAGTGCTCTCCTTTGGCACCAAGTTTCTCACCATTACGCACTCTTATTGATCAAGGGGTCAACAATGACTTGAGGTTTAAAATCTGGCTTCAAGTACTCTGAAAGCAAGGAAGCATACGTGTCATAACGGGCAGTCATGCGGAAGCCCCACTTGTCTTTGATCTGGCGACATAAGTTGAGGTCCATATCAGATATCATCAAGCCATCTCGGTAGCGAGATAGTGATGGGGTGCAAGAAGCATCAGGTGCTGAGAAATGGCTGGATCCATAGAAATGACCAAAGTCGGCATGCTGAGGTTTCCCGTCACCAGAAGTGAATGGGTTTGGGAAGACCTCTGTGCCAACCCGGTTAATTGACCCGACAAAGTAGCTATTTGCAATTGCAGCATTTCTGGCCTGAAAGAGTACAACTTAAGCATCAGTGCTGTTCTACCGCAAATAAGATCAAAAAACGAATAAAATTATTCAAACTTCTGAAAATTTCAGAACGCAACAACTGGAAGTAAGTGCTATAAAACAGAATGGAATGTAAGAATATATCTGACCTCAATGGGCCACATTGGTTCACTGAGTTCACCAACAGTTGCGGATGGGTTGAATACTATTTCAGCTCCATTGAGGCCAAAAGCAAGCCAATTAAGGGGATGATGCCTTCCATAACAAATGTTTACTCCGATTTTCCCATATGCTGTTTCAAACACTGGATGCCCAGTGTTACCCTCCATATAGTATGTGCTCTCATTGAAATCACCGACTCTTGGGATGTGATTCTAAAGTAGCATTTTGTTAGACCGGAAATGCTTAGAGATATCCAGAGGAAATAAATATGTACTGATTGCACATACCTTTCGATGTATACCAATTATGTTCCCATGATTACCTATGACAACAGCTGTATTCCATACAATCTCTCCGTGGTTTACATCTCTTTCGAGGATTGGGCTCACAATTACCATGTTATATTTCTTAGCAAGTTGTTGAAGAAATTGAGTAGATTCTCCATCAACAGGCTCAGCAAACTCACACCACCTTTTCTCACGTGTGCAGAAGGCAAAAGGCATTGTCCAAGCTTCCTGAATTTTGGGTATCAACCATTAGAATGATATGCACCTTTGGAAATTTAAGCCAATGTGTCTAGAACATAACATTGCCAGAAAATTGAGAAGGAATATTCTGAGCAACAAGGATCAGAAATGAATTAATCAAATATTCACTATTAACATGGAGAATAAGTATTCTGAGAAACACATTAGGTTGGAAATGAAGATATACATACTAACAAGTTGCATGGGAACTCTAGAGTAATTCATCAAATGCCAAAAGGAAGTTGTACAAACCGATAATTGACTCACCTGTAAACACAAAATATTAACACCAGCATCACCAGCTGCATCAATCATAGGCTTGACTTTCTCCATGATAGCCTTCTTCTGATCTGCAAAATGACTGGTGGTAGGAATAGCAATTGAGTTCTGAATCAGGCCAACTCGAATAACCCGTGGTTGCCTGAGATACTCTTTATCTGCATCAAAACGGAAGGCCTGCAGCACAAAAGAGCACTACTTAAAAATTGAGACAACAAGAGTGCAGGGAATTATCAGTTTAATTTGCTAGATGCTGAAGGATTGAAAAGCGCAACCAGTAGACAAGCTGCTACTACCACTACCAAAGAAGAGTTTGACATGATGCTTTATTTGTCTTAGTGAATCCTGATTCAAACATTAAAATTGTACATGATTATTTACCAATAGACAAAGACATTTTTTTCTGTAGATAGTGTGTGTTTGATTCCATCCATAAATCAATGAAAGAATATACCAACTATCAGGAAATAACCTGCACATCAAAGTTATGAGCTTTTGCAAGAGCAGATGTGGCTTCGGGCAATGAGATGGCCTCTAGAGCACGCCCACAATTCAGTCCCAATAGCAGCCGGCTTGCTTCCTGTTAACAAATATAGAAACTAAGTTAGCAACAGCTCAGGCTCAGCATATAAACAAGTTGATATCTTCAACACATCCTTACCATAAAGCTTAACATAAAAAACTAGTACGGTTCCCCAAATAATCGAACCATAATCTATTGTTCTGTATTGGCAGTGATATACTTTAGCATCTTCTAATGAAACCATATCATAATTAAACTTCATAGCGACTGACAGATCTTGTCAATTAACTAGCAGTACTGTACCAATTTTTTGCCTAAGGAGAACACTGAACACAACGAATTCCCATCAACAGATGGATGGACAACCGTAGCGCATTAACGTTAACACTACAGGATGTTTTCTTCAACAGAATTACTCACTGACAAGTGACAACAGTCAAGTCACTATCTGACGCACAAAATTGTGTTAGAGAGCAACCCGACATCATCAATTACAATCCGTACATATAGTCTTAGCCGCCATAATGGCAAAGACATCAGGATCAAGTGATCAACACAGCCATCTATCTCATCACCAAGAACCCGATTAACTCACGACATACCAATCGACAACGCCAGCGCCGCCGCCGCGAGCTCGCCCACCCGGAAACCAACCAAGAAACAGGCGGCCCCGGAGGGGGGATGACCCAGACGCATCCGACCAACCAACCAACCAACCAGCGGGCCGCCGTTCGGGGGGAGGAGGAGAGGGAAGTTTTACCTTGAAGAGCTCCGGGGAGAGGTTGGACTGGAGGAGCCTGTGCAGGGACTCGTACCCTCCGATCGACCCCGCCGCCGCCGCCGGCGCATCCTCTCCCTGCGGCGGCCGCTCGCCGTTGCTGCTGTCCATCCTCTCGACTGCCGGCTGCCGGTGGTGCGGTTAGTGTGATGCGATGCGGTTGCCGCACTTGCCCGCCCTCCTCGTGATTGGGCTCGTGTTAGAGAGGCGAGTAGGGCTCTCTCTCTTTTCTTTTTTTAACTATGGTTTCCTTGTCATCTTGTATACTTGTATTCCTCGCATATGCATGTGAGGTTTGATTGGCATTATTGTTTGTTTGTTTGTTTGGATAGGATGGATTAGATTGGATTTAGATAGGTGTAATAGTTGGCGAATTTTCTACATCAACGTTGGTAGATAAATCAATTATTATACGCTAGTATTAGTATAGCTTTTATTATATAGTAATATTGTAATCTTGTAATTTTTTCCTGTTCTATCAATATAACTTCACACCGTCTTGTGCAAATCGTTCAAAATAAATTATATAGTAATATTTTAATTGATTCCTATAAGTAATTATTCCTAATCCATTAAGTCATCCATGAAGAACACCTCTAGCTGCGTTTGTTTCTCGCTTCTCCCCTCCTCTAGTCCCCCGTTTTGCACGTGTATGTTTCCCAAACTCTAAACGGTGTGTTTTTTAAAAAAAAAAATTCTATAGAAAAGTTATTTTTTTAAAAAAAATCATATTAATCATTTTAAGATAAACTAATACTTAATTAATCATGCACTAATGAGTTGTTCCATTTTACGTGCGTGAGAGGGTAGTTCCCTACCCAAATTGCCGAACAGCCTAAAGAGTGTTCGGAACCCAGTTTTAAGCTTACTTAAAATGTGGCGACTCTATGTTTTTTAGTTAAGTTTGGTCTACCCCCAAATTATTTCAAAAGTACAATTTATCCCCCTCAACTGCAAAACTAGACAATGATGGAGGATGTAATTTGCAATTAATGTGCGGATCAAATAGTTGGGGATGTACACATTAATCCCCTCCCCTTTTCAAGTGGTCTCGACTTCCCATGTGGTACTCTAACATAATGAAGGATGTGCCTCGCCAATCAAATCCCTCTCCCTCTCTCAATGGGACCCACCTACCAATGGCATGCATTGGAGGTCTCAACAAGTTAGCCGTTGTCTTAAGGTCACAAGAGTGTTGAAGGTCAACACCTTAACTGGAACAGAGAACGATGCTTGTCGAGATGCGGTCAAAGGCAGTGAAAAGGTCCTAGTGGCGGAGTAGGGAGTCGATGGGAACCTAGCAAGGTTCCAAGCTCCTACTCACAAGGGGTTGGGGTTCGGCTAGTAACAGCGAGGGAGCCTATGCCATCCTCGAATATGAACTGGGTAAGGTGGTGATGCTGCTATAGGATGCATGGAGAGGACGTGACGCTCATGCATTTGGCTCTCTTCCATCCCTCGGTGGCATGGATAGCTTTGGTGGTGACCAATTGTTGCTTGGCAGAGGTTCGGTCTCTAGATCGATAACCGCTAATATGTTGTCCTCCATGAGCTTTGCATAGGGAGGGAGAGGAGTGGGGAGGGCACCATCACTACTGAGGAAGGAGAGGAAGGGAAGACAAAACGCCGACGTCGAGCTCCTCTCACTAGTGCCGTAAGAGCGAGCACGTCCCTTTTCCTCTCTCTCAACATCAATGACTATCATGGAGGTAAGGGCAGGAAGGAATAGGCAGGGAGAAGAGAATTTAGCGGTTGAGCACACTATGGCCAGATCTAGCAAGCCAAGCTCACCAGAAGATGAGCGAAACATGAGGAGGCATGACGCCTCCTTGAGTATTTCACCATGTAGGGTTCCACCACTGCCTCCTCTTGGGATCATCAAGGGAGAAAGAGAGAGAGAGAGAGAGAGGGGAGCACATCTACAAGTGGTGGGGGGTTCCTAGGGAGTGCCATGACGACGGTTTCTCACAATGAGCACGGAGAAATCGGCGGCTCTCATGGAGCATAGGCGGTGTTGGCATGTGACGAGCACGTGGCAAGGGAGGTCTAGCAACTGTGCAGGTCCATGTCTTATGAGAGTGAGAGTGAGAGAGAGATAGAGAGAGAGATGGGAGAATGGGGGGAAGACAATAACTAGGTGCTGACATACGGAGCCAACATGATATTTAAAAAATGATAGTTTTGTTAACTGGGTTGCCACATAGTCAAATTAGTGCCACGTGTATATCACATAGTACAAAACAACCCTTGATTATGTTGGGGTGGGGTTGGGGGTAATTCATATGGTTTCAAAAGTTTAAGGTCTTAAATATCTTCTTCCGTAGTTGAGGGTAAATTGTATTATAAAACTATTTTCTGCATGATGAATGGCCGATTAGTTTCCACCAATGTTCACTTATACACGGTAGTTTTTAATGTTCCCTTCCATCCTATAATATAGCTACCTTAGCAGTTCAAAATATAATTATTCTTTTTCTTTGAAGGAAAAAAAATATAACAAGATTTAAGACCTTGTATATATTCCTCTTTATTGTATACCAGCAGAAATTCATTGCATTGAGTTTTTCCATGGAGTGAATAGAGAAATAGGAAAAAAAAACTCTTTCGAATGAAAATGGAAAAACAAATGCGTCATATATCCCACTTGGACAAAGCAAATTAGAAGAATTTTTCTCTTATTCTCATTTGTTCCTTCCTTTAGAACTACAAAAATATCTATATATTTTAGGGCGAAGGGAGTAGACAAGTTGTGACGAACCAAAAATTTTATCTAGCCGAGACAAATATACTTCCTATCAAATTACTTATTATTACAACTTGTCCTAAGTCAAGACCATCAGTTCTAGAAACTCGTATAATTTAACAAAATGCAAATTATTTTAAAAATATTTCTCATTGCGAATCATTGGTTTATGTGTTGATATAAATATTTGCCTCAAGAGAAAACTAAAACGGCAATATGAAACAGGGAGCATAAATGCACACCTATATTCTAGTCTCACAATCCTAGTTTCCCACCGAAATATTCTAAAATTGAAACTTAGGCAAGAAAAAGGTTAATTGGATCCATGCCATTACAATTGTGTCGAATTAGAGAAGTGCCATTATAAATCGCCTATTTCGAAGCATGCCATCCGTATTGATGTTAATTTTGGTCCATCCCATAATTTGGTCGTCTCCCGTGTTTGTACACGTAGTATCGGATACATATTTGTGTATGGACGGAAATGCCCCTTTCAGACGCGCTCTAAAACTGACCTGGTTCAGCTCAACCGTATGCTTGCTCCATCCATTCCCTACTCCATTCCTTCCTATTCGAGCTCCAGATCTAGCCGGCGGTGGAGGCGAGGATTCGAGCGAGAGAGATGCGCCGCTAGCAGGTGATGGTGCTGGAAATGTGATGGCGACAACCCCCCTCCCCGCGGACCCCTGGGCGAGACGGCGAGGAGATGGATCTAGGCGAATCCAATCCGACCATCTGTTCAAGGCCATGAGTATCCCTAACCCTAAATCAATTGAAACCTGTAATGTTAAGAGGCAAAGCATCTTTTTTCTGCATCATACATCTTTGGCTGGCATTGTTCTTCATGTGTGGTGATTTGTTTGGTAGGCACAGGTTTTCGGTAGACGTTAGGGTTCAAGGCTATGTGACAATAGATGCTGTTGGTAGGAAAACTTACACAAAAGGGTCAACTCGGTAATGGGTTGTGGAATCAGATAGCTTTAACGTTGAGTTTGTGTTGAGTAGCCTTGTTGAGTTAACTTGGGGCCCAAACCAATCTCCTACCATATGGTATTTTTGTAAGTCAATTAGTGAGGACGTGAGACTATTGGAGAATGGCCAGATTCCAGAGTTGTTTGAAATATATGCAGAAGAGAGCCACTTTGAGCTTATTGTATCCATCCTGGATGCTGCAAAGGGTGTGCCATTTGCTATAAATGCTTTAAATCCTATATGTGTGGCGCCTCCTGAATTCCCTGCTGAAATCCATCCTGAAATCCCTCCTGACATCCCTCATGAAATCCTTGCTGACATCCCCGCTAGTATTGTTGGAGGTTTTGACCAGCTTACAACAGAGGAAGCAGAAGTTAGAGAGGCAGATATCTTTGACAATGAGGAGTATGTTGGTGTTGATGATGAGTGCCTATATGTTCCTGCATCTAAATAGCAAGGTCAACCTGGATCTGAACCTCAGGGGGCTGCAGCCACTGGTCAGAGTGGAGAGATTGGTTCTAGTGCTAGTGCTGTGGCAGGCTGGCAGCTCCTGAGGCACAGATTACAGATGATTATCCTCAGATTTATAACATCATTCATGACCTTGAGAATCCAAACATTGTGAAAGATGCTTTGTTCCCCCATGATAACTCTCAGAAAAGTTGTAAGGCATTATGCCATCTTGAAAGGTTTTGAATTTGCTAAAGGTATGAAGACAGATCCTACAAGGTTTATTGCAAAAGGTGCAGCTGATGGTTGCCCTTGGTGTATAAATGCATCTCTGATTGAGGATAAGAAGACTGTAAAGGTAAACTCTTCCCAAATTTCTTTTGTTTTGTTGTTCAAATGATGTTTACTTATGTGTTGCATTACTCATGCAGATTATGGTCCTTCCATTTGAGCACACTTGTTCTTCTACAAAGCTACATAAAGGGAAGATGGCTACTCAAGGCTGGTGTGCAGATAGACTCTCTGATTGGATTAAGAAGAATCCTAGCAAGGGACCAACTGATGCCAGGAAGAAGCTTGAAGAAAGATATGAGATCAAGTTGAAATACTCCAAAGCATGGTCTGGTATGAAGAAGGCTATGGAGCAGATCCATGGTACATATGAAGAAAGCTTCCAGCTTCTTTTCAACTGGAAGGTTGCACTGCAGAACAAGTCACCAGGTACAATTGTAGAGATAGAGTTGCAGAAAGTAGGCAAGAAGATGTGCTTTAAGAGAATTTTTGTTGCATTGAAACCTTGCATAGATGGATTTTTGGCTGGATGTAGACCTTACTTAGGTGTAGATGCAACTAGGTTAACTGGTAAATATACTGGACAGCTAGCTTCAGCCACTGCTATAGATGGACATAACTGGTTGTATTATGTAGCATATGTTGTGTTTGACTCGACAATAGATGATAACCGACTCTGGTTCATGCAACAACTAAATAAGGCCATAGGAGACCCAGATGGTTTAGTTATTTCTACATATGCATGTAAAGGTTTAGAGAATGCATGAGGCATCTCTATTCTAATTTCATGAAGAAGTACCAAGGGCTAATCTTCACTAATCATCTGTACCTAGCTGCTAGATGCTATACCGAGGATAGGTTTCAGTGGCACTTGAAGCATATATGGGATGTCAGGCCTGATGCAATAGAGTACCTAGAGAAGCACCACTCAAGGATTTGGTATAGATGTGGATTTTCAGAACTTAGCAAGTGTGATTACCTGACAAATAATGTTTCAGAGAGTTTCAACAACCAGATCAAGGGCCTAAACGGTTTGCTCATACATGAGTTGGTTGATTCCATTAGAGAAATAGTCATGGTGAAATTTGCACTTAGAAGAGATTGTGCTAGCAAGATGGATGATGGAATCCTACCAGGTGTCATGAAGGAGCTGAACATTGCAACTAGTAATCTGAAGGTTGTTAAGGTGGCTAGAAGTGACCATGGATTTGCTGAAGTCACAATGGTTGAGAGTGATAATAGCACCTAGAGGGACACTGTGGACTTGGACAACCGAAATTGTTCTTGTAGGGTATGGCAGGTGACAGGAAAGCCTTGCAAGCATGCAGTGGCTTGGATATGCACCAACAGGGGAAAGATTCAGGACTTTGTGCATCCATATTACAGTGTCTAATACTTTAGAGCAGCTTATGCAGGGAGGATTCAACCCATGACTGATAGGTTACAATGGCCTTCAGTTGATCTTGGGTTCAAAGTGCATCCTCCAAGACTGAGAAGAGGAGCTGGCAGGCCTAGAGTGCGAAGGATAAGGGGTTGTCTTGAGCCTGGGAGAAAGAAGGTGAAATACAAGAGATGCAAACAGTTTGGGCACTTTGAGAAAACTTGCAAATTGGCTGAGCCACTAGATGAAGATGACATGGCTGCCGAAGAAACACCCAGGAAAAGGTATGTACTGAACCCTTCCATTTTGATCCATGACTTCTTACTGTTGTTGAATTATGTGTCTTCTTTTCACTTGCAGGAGGAGGCCAGCAAATGTGGATGTTGAAGCTAGCTCATCTGCACCAAACAAAAAGAAAAAAAAACTCCAAAGAAGAAAAGAACACCACAGAAGATGAGAGATCTTGCTTCTTCCAGTGCTCCACCAACAACTACTCCTAGAAGGCTATCAGATTGGTTTGGTGTGTCTCAACCATCCAACCCAGCTTGATGTTGAGCTAGCTGATTACTGGGTTCTCTTTTGTAATATATGATGGCCCAAGAACTGCTTATTTTGTGATGTAATGCATGTGTAAGCTAGCTGATTAGTGGGTTCCCTTTTGTAATTATTATGTGATGTAATGCCTAAGACACACCTATGTTGTGATGGCTGGCAGACCTGCTTATTTTGTGATGTAGCAGTGAAGTAATGGCACTAAGACCTTCTTATTATGTATTCTAAAGTTGGCTGTGCTATGCAAACTATCATATGTGGCATAGATGAATGAAATTGCTCCATACATGTGACATTCTCACATTTGTGTTGGTTTGCTTGAAATACCTGCTTGAAATACCAAAAATTTATGTGGCACTTGACATTTGCTCCATATATGTGATATTTATATGACCTTATATGAATGAACTTGCTCCATATATTGTAACATCCTCAGATTTGTGTTGGTCTGCTGAAAATACCAGCAAATTTGTTGGTCTGCTGCAAATTGTAATGTTGCTAACATTCTCACATTGCCAAATTTTGACAGTTTTAGTGCAACTAACATTTAGTGTAGCTGAAATTTACAAATGAAAATCAAGTTTGCTCACATATGTTGCTGAAATTTGTCACATAAGTCACATTTCCTCAGCTTTGCTCACATTTGGTAAATCTGCAACTAGAAATGCACAGCCCAATTACAGATTTCACAATTGCTCACATTTAACTAAAAATGAAACTAGGATTAATTCCACAAGTCATTTACAGATTGCATATTACATATTGCACACTCACAGCAATTACTAACTACCTAAGGTAGTTCTTCCCTACAACTACTGGCACACAAAGAACACACATCAACATTAGCATGTGCATAACCCATTGGAGCATGTCCTTCTCTGATTCTATTTTGTCCTTCATCTCTGCAAGCTCCCTCTTAGACTGATTCAGCTCATCTCTACACAGCTGCAATTGCTCCTCTTTTTCTTCTAAGATACTAGACAACTCGATGTTGTGACCCTGCGCATCTACCAATTGCCACCGCAACTGGTTGCGTCTCCCGTAGGCTATTATACTCGCCGGCATGGTAGTATGCCATCATATCCTCGACATACTCCTGAGGAGACCTCCCATATCCATAAATAGCATCGTACACCTTGCATGAAAAGGAAGGAAAGGGAATTGGGAAAGAAATCGAGGAGATGCAACTCAAAATTTCTCGTGGCCAAAGATTCACCTCTCCCCCACATTGCAGCCATCGCCGGGCAGGATTTCTGATAGTGGACGACGTGCGTGGAGCTGCCGGCCACCCACAAGCACACTTGAGCTCGGGGATGCCGCACGCTTCTACCTGGGACCGCTCCTCGCTACACCTGCTCAACCAAGAAAGGGTTCTCGATTCGTCCATCGCAGCCGCTCCCGCGGTCCCCTAGAGATGCGGAGGGACTTGCTGCCACCCGCCAGCTAGGGTTTCTACCGCCGTCGATAGCCGCCACATAATGGTTTGGGGACAGGGAAGGAGCGGTTTCTCGTGGTCGAGACGAACCAACTCGCCGATGTATCCATGTATGCAGGGGCATTAGCGACCATATGAAACTACACACTGGTCAAATTAAGTCAACGCGAGCCTACGTCGTACGGCATGGCATGGAAACTATTCTGCCCATATTCAGATGGCACGCTTTGAAATACTACCTCCGTTTCATAATGTAAGACTTTCTAACATTGCCCACATTCATATAGATGCTAATGAATCTAGACATATATGTGTGCCTAGATTCATTAGCATATATATGAATATGGGCAATGCTAGAAAGTCTTACATTATGAAACGGAGAGAGTAGATGATTTGTAATGGCATTTCTCTAATTCGACATAACTGTAATGGTATATTGCCGCCGCCGGCAGGCAACTCTGTCCCTACAACATCGGATCGGAAGCGTAATCAGTGGGCGACTCAAAATTTGAACGCCATCGCTGAGAACCGTCGGATGGACTTAATTTCACGAGCAAAACATTACGGTCGCTCGAGGGCTGACCTGCGGGGCCCAAGGTTTTGTAGGCAGAAGTCAATCGCGATTCAAGCGATCAATCTTCTCCCTAAACCACTGCAACTTTCTTCGCTCAACCCTAACTCGACGAAACCTTCAGCCGCCGTGTGCCATCCTACGTACGCCGAGATGACCGGCCGCCCAGCGGCGCCACCCCGGGGCCTGATTGCTCCACCATCGCACCCGCACGGCGCGCTGCCGCGGAACAAACAAGGATCGGGAGCAGTTCAGGCTGCTGCTGCTGCGCAAGACACAGGACAGCAAAGAAGGAACTATGACCAAGATAATCGGGGCGCACAGGATGCTGGACGTGGATATACGCACGCGGCAGGCAACCATCGTCACCAGGATCAGCCGGGCGAGGCTTCAACCGGCAATACAGAGGACCGCAACACTGTCCTGTCAATCACCGGCCAGCTGACACTCATGCTAGTCGCCGTCCTGATCAGAGCCGCAGAGAAGAGGAGCGCCAAGAGGTTCCTGCTCGCTAGGAATAGGTAACTGAGGTGCCGGCTAAACACAAAGCAATGGCAACAACTGAGGTACCAGCGGCAAAGGCAAAGAAACCACGACCACCTTTTTGCTACAGATGCAAGTGCAATGGACATTTGCCTGCTGTGTGCAAGGCAGATTTGAATTGCATTATATGTAACAAGAAGGATTCACATTTGTCTATCAAGTGCCCAATCCTGAAGATGCCGAAACCAAATGCGTCGCTGCTTGGGTTTGGCAAGAATGAGCTTGGTTTTCTTCAAGTGCCAGACTTTGATTACAAGCTCGAGACTACAGTTCCGGCACCTACAGCTTTAGTCACGATCACGGGTGGACACCTAGGAGCGGATGGGGTACAGACAGAGCTTGCCAGGCTTATTCGAGCAGATTGGAACTGGGAGGCTTTGCCACACGGTAAAGATTCTTTCCTAGTTACATTCCCATCGGAGGAGGAACTGAAAAGAATGGCTGATGTCGAGTTTCGCCTAAAGAATCATGGGGTTGCTCTGACGATCTCCGAGTGGCAGGAAGCAGGTGATGTTATTCCCTCATATGAATTGGATATGGCATGGGTGCATGTCACCGGTGTTCCTCATGCTTGGCGGCATTATCTCGGTTTTTGGGCACTTGGTAGTGTAATTGGGGCTACAGAAGAAGTAGACATGCTAACCTTCCGGAAGTTGGGAGTGATCCGAATCAAAGTGGGCATTATGGATAGGGAACATTTCCCTTTCACTACTGATGTTGTGTTTGGGAAGCATGGGTATGAGCTGATTTACACTATTGAGCCTGAAGATTTTCAACCTGCCATTCCCACCCCATCCAATGATACTATGGATCATGATTCTGCGGGTACTGATAATGGTAGCAACATGGATGGAGGTAGTGCTGATCATGCAGCAAAAAAGAAGAAGGCGAATACATCGACACCGGAGAGTTCGAATGCTGCAGTTTCAGGTCCAACTCCTATGCAGTTAGCAGTGACTCCTTTTGAGGATCGTCGCCCTGTGCCACAGAGACAGCAAATTATCCTGGGCACTAGAGTGAACAAGCAGCACATTGCGGTCACTCCGTTAAGGGTGACCGGATCGACATCATACGGTCGGAGAGAAGTTTCTCTCTCGACCTCAACAGCTGCGCCAGCCGCACCGACATTGATTGTGCTTCTACCGAAGTCTTCATCATCGATGGATACTCCACCCGGGCTGACAATGGCGGTGTCTCCACCTACGCCTGCACCTTTGGGGTGGTCGCTCACGTCGACCCCACCCCCATCCGCTCCTGTGCAGACCCTGCCGGCATCCACTCCACCCATGTAGACCCGTTGGCATCGTCGAGGCAATCAACATCAGCGCCGACAAAATCTCCACTAGTGCCGACCCTGCCGATGCCTACTTCACTCGTGCAAACACCACCAGTGCCTACTACAACAACTCAAACTGCTGCCTATACACATGAGGGTCATGTCACTCAGCCCGGATCGAGCTCCATCAAGCACTCGACCTTCGGGCATGTGAGGTCCCCATGCACTCCTTTACAGGAGGAAAAGACCGAAGGGCTTCGCCATAGTGATCGCTGCAATGCAGCCATATCATCTAATGGCATTGCAGCGGCCGATGAGGATTCAACGACGAAGGCTAAACGCAGGGCAGCGATGAGAAATCTGGATGGGCCAATGATGTCCAAGATGGCTGACTTAGCGAAGTCATCACTTTCGTCTACATCATACCTTGACCCTTCTATAGGTATGCATTCTAACCTCCCATCTTCTTCCATTGTTTATTTATCCAATGAACAATTTTCCTCCAATTTGGGAAAGATAGGAGTTTCTTTGGGTAGTGGAAGTGAAAACGTGGCCTTTTCTGTTAATGCTATTAAACATATGAAGGTTGACAGATGGAAAGTAGCACCTAAAACTAAGATGAAAGCTAAGGTTATTGATGAAGCGAATGATCAAAATCCTTTTGATGATGGTGATGATGAGGATGCCAAACCTGATGGCATCTTACTCGCTCACTTATTCAAGGAAGTTTCTGAAGTAGACTTGGATGATGCGGAGCTTAGCACAACAATTTGTGACTTAATAGATACCCCTCGAAAATCCAAATCTGCTTCAAAAAAGAAAGGTCAATCGACCAGGACCAAAAGTAACAAGAACAAAAAAGGTTGTAAATGAAAGGCATCTTCTGGAATAGCAGAGGTCTACTTGACTTGGCTAAATATTGGTATGTTGCTGAGAACATTAAGGAACACAATCTTGATTTTGTTGCTTTATTGGAGACAAGGAAGAATGATGTGTCAAAGACGAATCTTGATCGCCTAGCTGGGGGCGCAGATTTCATTTGGCACTGTCTTCCCCCTCGTGGCAGATCAGGAGGTATATTACTCGGTATTAATGCAGCTGTAATGGACTTGTCCTTGATTGTGGAAGGGAAATTTTACGTTAAATTCCATTTACGCAACAAAGAGGACAGATTCGAATGGATCTTGATGGCGGTCTATGGACCAGCACAGGATGAATTCAAATCTAGCTTCTTAGCTGAGCTAGTCCGCGCTTGCCAACAAAATCCACATCCCACGCTCATTGGTGGTGATTTCAACATTTTGAGGAGTAGTACAGAGAAAAACAACAATAGATATAATGACCGCTGGCCTTTTCTCTTCAATGCTGTAATTGACAGTTTTGACTTGAGAGAAATTGCTTTAGCAGGTAGACAATTCACATGGGCAAATTCCTTAGCCAACCCAACTTATGAGAAGTTGGATCGAGTCTTAATGACCACGGAGT